ACAAAGCTATTGGGGAACTTAGGTCTCTTGATTCCAATGTCAATGGTTTATCAAAATTTATGGATGACTCAGGTTAGATGAGGTGGTTCCTAGCCAGTAGACTAGTTTGTCAATTGATCTCAAATTTGATCTGGAAGATTTCCAAACTGCTTACCACCATGATATGCCTCTTGGGCCCACCCTACTCCCCTAAATTTTCAGGAATTCCAGGCATAGTGTCCCTTTCTCTAATAACTCATAGAATTTAATAATATTAATAATAAGGACAGCTAGCATTTACATGTAACTTTAAGGTTTGCAAAGTGCTTTACAAACATTATCTCATTTAATCCCGTCGGTAACCCTAGGAGGTAGATAACAACACCCATTTCTATACAAATATGTATCATGTAAAATGATTCACATTTTATAGTTTAGGAAACTGAGGCATATGGAAGCTAAGTGTCTTGCCCAGGGTCACATAGCTGGTAAGCGTCTGAGGCTGGATTTGAACTCAGATCTTCCTGACTCCAAGTCCAGCACACTATTCACTATACCACCTAGCTGCCTTTTCCCCAAATAAATAGTTCAGATACCCCTGGGTTGGACTGAGAATAATAATAAATCACATTTAGCCAGCACTTTAGTGTTCACAAAGCACCTTTTTCATTTTTTAAAATGAAAGATCTGTGAGGTCACTAAGATAAGTAAGGACAAACCTAGAATTAGCCAAGTGACCTCAGTCTAGCCCCCTACCCAAGCTAGACCTCATTGTCTTCTGTAAAATGGGGTAATTGAAAGAAATGATATCTAGGGTCATTTTCAGGCCTGCCTATCTATGGATCTATGAATTTTCTTCCCATTTTTCATGTTTAATTTTTTCGTATCTTGCAGATACTTGCTTTTTTGCTGGCATTCCACAGTCAAATAACTGAATAATTCAAGGCTCTTCTCAGAAATGTTCTTGGCCAAAAAGACGCATAATTTTATGCAAAACAAGTTTTATGAAATCACACAGAATTTCAAAGTTGGATAGGACCTCAGCAGCCATCTGGTGCAAGCCATACCTGAAAAATCATCCTCACTTATAATATTATACATCTGAGGAGTGGTCATCTAGCCTTTGCTTGGAGACCTCCAGGAAGGGAGAATCCAGTTACTTCCTAAGGCAGATCATTCTATTTTTGGATATTTCTTATGGTGAAGGAAGATTTTCCTTATTTTCAACTTAAATTTGCCTCATTATAATTTATTGCCATTGCTACTAGTCTTGTTCTCTGAGGCCAAACTAAAAAAATTAGAATCCCACTTCCACATGACAGCCTTCTGAATCCTTAAAGACAGCTATCACATCTGCTCTGGGCCTTCCCTTCTCCAAGATAACCATCCTTCAACTGATTCTCATAAGGAATGGGCTCAGGGGCCTTCATCATTTTTCCTTTCACAGGGCAGGAAAGCAATTATAGCTAAAACAGTAAGGGATTCTAAAGGAGAGACAGGAGACAGCATGTACCAGGCAGATTGACCCCTTACTAGATCTCAGTGGAGACAGCCGAGGACCCTGATCCTAAGAGCCCCAGGAATAAAGCAATAACACCCAGATCTCAGGCCTTTCCTTCAGTCTCAAAAGGATCTGTCATCTTTAACACCAACTGCCAGTAAGGAACAAGTAAGTGCAAGGATCCCAGGAACATCAGCAACCCCCCAGACCACCAGATGTGCTTCTAGCTCAGCCCCTCTAGCCATAATCCAGAACTGCAAACCCTGTGGAGATGTAACCTGTCACCTGTTTCAGGAAGAGCTGCAGCACCTGCCTCCTTAGAACCTAGAGCTACTCAAGACCCAGAAAAACCAAAAATCCTCACCACCAAAGTCTGGGGCATTGTCAAATGGTTAAACATTAGAAATGGCTGTGGCTGGATGAATAGAAATTACATTAAAGAAGATGCATTACATCTTTGTTGCTGCTATACCCTTAGAATCCTGGGGCCTTTCTATCTGACTTTCAGCTGAAACCTGGCATTTATGTTGTCTCTCCCATCAGAATGGGAGATCCTTGAAAGCATGGACTATCGGACTTTTTTGTATCCCAAACACTTAGCATAGCACTTTGTATAGTAAGTGAATAGTAAGTGCTTCTTAATTCATACCCTTTTTCAGATGCTCTCCAGATTATAAATTTCCTTCCTAAATTACAAAGCCCAGAACTGAGCAAACTCCAGATGTAATCCGACCACTTTCCACGTCTTGTCTTTTCAATGGAATTCTAATAATGCTGCAATATGTAAAGAGCAACATGTATAGAGTTTTTGTAGGGCAGCTAGGTGGCACAGTGGATAGACTACCAGGTCTAGAGTCAGGAAGACTCATCTTCCTGAGTTCAAATGTGGCCTCAGACACTTACTAGTTTTGTGGCTCTGGACAAGTCACTTAGCCCTATTTGCCTCAGTTTCCTCATCTGTAAAATAGCTGGAGATGGAAAGGGCAAGCCACTACAGTGCCTTTGCCAAGAAAACTTCAAATGGGGTCACAAAGAGTCAGACACAACTGAAAATGACTGAACAACAACTAAGTACCCATTGTGTCAGCTCATAAGGGACTCCAACTTGTTGATATCGGCAGGGTAGGATTATTATGCCCATATTAGAGCTCAGTGAGGACAAGTGACTTGCCCAAGGACATAGAGCTGATGAGTCAGTTTGGCATAGTGGTAAAGTGCTGAACTAAGAAATCAGGAAGACCTGGGTTCAAATTCTGCCACTGATTTTGACTGTCTGTGAGACCATGGGCAACTCACAGAACCTCTTTCAGTCTCAGTATCCGCATCTATAAAATGGGGAGAATTGTAAGGGTAGTATTTACCTCAAAGGGTTATTGTGAGGCTCCAATAAAACACATAAAATGTTTAGCAAACTTTAAAGACTTATGTAAATCTCAGTTATTATTATTACATAGTAGACCCTAGACTAGCACCCAGCTCTATTTTCTCTTAGTTCAGTGCTCTTTTTCCTCATTGTTGTTCATTTGTTTCAGTCATGTATGACTTTTTGGGGTATTCTTGGCAAAGAAACTAGAGTGTTTTACCATTTCCTTCTCCAACTCATTTTTACAGATGAGGAAACTGAGGCAAACAGGGTTAAGTGACTTGCCTAGGGTCACACAGCTAGGAAGTGTCAGAGGCCAGATTTGAACTCAGGAAGATGAGTCTTCCTGACTCCAGGACTGACACTCTAACCACTGCGCCACCTAGCTGCTCTTTTTCCTATGCCTCACTTAAACTTTCTTCCTTTCTCTAAAATGAGCAGAAATGCTATGCTTTAACCAATGAGATCTTCTGCCCATGTTGCAATCTCCATCCCACAGTTGACCGGTTCATTTCAACTTTGCCCACTGTTGATCCACACTCACATCTCTCCAATAACTCTCACACTCTATCAAGAAGGAAGTTCTTGCCTTATATTATAGAGATTTTTTAAAAATGAAAGGAAAACAAAATAACACAAGCTATTAAATAATAATGTATATCAATAGTCTAGAACAACTTGACTTGGCCAATGATATAATTTCCCAAATGTTGCCAAAAGTAATAGAATGAATAGGTGATTGATGGACAAGATGGGAGACTAATATAGGAAATCGGGTGAGTAATTATATTCTCACCAGCTCTGGGTGAACATTAGTAGTGTGAATTATTTATTTCCACGAGATTTTTAGCTCTATCTGCACATACAAAGTGAAGGGGAGCACTGAGGCAGTTACTCAAATAATGGTGAGCGTATCAAGAGTGGGAACCATGTCCTGTTAGTTATTATGCCTCCCTTCCAGTACGTAGGGGTTGGGGTAGAAGTGGTAAGCAGACTGGAAAGGTGGGAAGGGCAGGTTATCAAGGCCTTTGACTACTCAACATATCTATGTAGTCTTTATCATAGACTTCACCAAATACAACAACATGGTGTAACTAAAGGAAGACTATATTAGTGCATGGTCTACACTTAGCTTATTACATGGATATATGTAATAATACTAGCTGCCACTCCTAGGGTGCTTTACATACCCAATCCTATCTGTCCCCTCACAACAACCCTGTGAAGGAGGTACTGTGATCTTACCACTCTCACTTTATAAATAAGGGAAGTTTAGTGAGTTTAAGCGACCTACCAATAGTTACACAAATAACTGGTGTTCAGGCCTCGTCCTTGTAACTCCAGGTATTACCCCACACTCCCACACTGCCCTTTCTAGATTGTCAGACCCTGTAATCCCCACAGTGCCAAGCTCATGGCCTGCAATATTGAGTAACTATCCAAAAACTGCTTGAGAATTAATTGATTAAAATAGGGCCCTTTCCCTCACAAGTGCATCAGATAATGCTACAAAATTATTCCACTTAACCCAAACCTATACATACACACACACACACACACATAGGGGATACATATGTGTATGTAGGTATCAATTTTGGGGATGGCTCTTTTGGTTTTTGGTAAACACCTATTTTCAGTGTCTGTCACAACATTCCATGTATTAAATCAGGAGGCCAAAATGTATTTCTCCATTCAAATATTCTGCGATAAACTTTATATCAGGTGTATCTTTGCTCTATGTACTCAGATTAGCTCAACATAATGGAAATATTAAAATACTAAGTAAATAGCTTTGTTTGGACCCCTTCTTGAATCTAGAACCTTAGCTTTAAAGATGGAACAAAAGTATTTAACGTATTATTGACAGTATCCTCGTTTCAATCTCATTAACATTACTATTCAGATTGAGAAAACACCTTGGTAACTGTGTCCACAGCTATTTCCCCCATGTTTGTTAGCAGATTCTTTAGAAAATCACTTCATTGGAAGAAAAAAAAGATTTAATTGTGGTTTGAAATATGATTAACATTACATGCTATTGTCCTGATGTCCCTGTTTGACTACCATAATGTGCTTGTTTTACAGAATGAAAGTGTGGATTAGATTCAAGTAAATGGGAAAAGGGACCATTTGGATTCTCTGTTCTTTTTTACCTACCCCTTTGGCATCAATCACACCAGGCTTCGCATTAAACTTCACCGTCTTCAATCGAGCACGTTCCTTTCTTTCCACTCTGGAGAATGAAAGAGAGAGAGAGAGAGAGAGAGAGAGAGAGAGAGAGAGAGAGAGAGAACAGATTAGGTTACTAAACAGGAATTAAAAGAAAAAGTAAACAATTCTATTCCCTTACATGCTCTCTTCTCTCCTCTCTTCCTCACAAGGAAAGTTGGTAGTAGGTTTCTAAGTGGAAATCAGCAACAAATCCTCAAAATTCATTATATTGTTTGTATGGAAAGTTACAGTATTTAGAAAGAAGGGAGAGATTGATGAGATAGAGGGCTGACCTCAGAGTCAGGAAAACCTGGGTTAAATCCTTCATTGGACACATACTTTTGGTATCACCATGGGTAGGAGGGGTTTCCACACCAGGACTTGATGTAGATGAAGTTACAGGTCTGGACAGTATAGGCATGTATGTGCGCAGTCATGGAACAATGTGACTTAGTGACTAGAAGGTCACCTTTTGAGTCAGAAAGACCTAGGTTGAAATTCTGCTTCTGACAGTTAGTGGCTAGGTGAGTCAGGGCAAGTCTTTCTACCTTTCACTGCCCCAAACTTCTCCTATTTCAGGATAATTGTCAATCTGAATTTGTAAAGGAGGTTTCCTTCCCAGGAGTTCCTTTTATCTAAGAAATCACAGAAGTTCTGGTCTGACTTCATCTATCTATCCATCCATCCATCTATCTATCTATCTATCTATCTATCTATCTATCTATCTATCTATCTATCTATCTGTCTGTCTGTCTGTCTGTCTGTCTGTCTGTCTGTCTGTCTGTCT